AAAAAAAAAAAAAAAGGAAAAAAAAGAGAGAAAATTTTTTTTTAAAAAAAAAAGGAGAAAAGAAAATAAAGAAGAGATGATAAATTAAAAAAATTATCATTTGGAGGGCCTACTTGAAAATTTGAGAGAAGTGTGGACCAAAAGAAGCCCAATTGAAGGGTGTAATCGGAAAAATCAAATCAAGGGTCCTAATTGAGAGTGAGTTCGAGTGATATGAGAAAAAAATTTTAAAAAGAAGGACTCGAAAAAAATCAATTAAAAGATATAATTGAAGGAAAATAAGGAGAAAGAGGACCAAAATAAAAAGTATATGTAAGGGGAAAAAATTACACTTTATCCCTTAAAAATCACATATAAAAGCCCCTTTTCTCTTGGAACCTTGACGAGTTCTCTCCCCCAAATTTGTTATTAATACTACCAACTCCAACATTGTTGTTCGTTCCAATCGATCGTCGATCCTCCCCTCTCTCCACCGTCGTCCACCCTAGCATAACTAAACCCAACCACATCACCATAAATCCAAAAATACTATTGTCCCTCACTAAACGTTGACCACACTACCGGCCAAAGTCCTTCGTTATCGTTCACCCTTTTATCGCCGAACCCATTGCCACAACCATCCGTAACAGCCTAAACCATCAAGACCAATTATCCTCTTCTTTAAATTCACCGATGTAGCACTTCTCCTTATTTTTTGAATTGTGATACTTGAAGTCGTATTGGTCGGAACCTCGATTCGGACCTCTTTCACCGATTTGGTCATTCATGCTTGATTTTATTTGCCATTTGATTGAAAATCATGATGCTTGAAGTCATGTTGGTTCGAGCCCTATTTTGGACTATTTTATGCCTAAAGTCATGTCGGTTTGAATCCTAATTCGAACCATTTTTGCCATTTTTGCTGATTGCGCTTGTTTATGTTTAGAAATCGCAAAGCTCGTTTCAAATCGTTTCTACCAATTTTTAGTGTTTTTGCATTTTACTTTGCTTTATCTAGTTATGTGTGAGATTTGATTTAATTACATTGAATTTAGATTTATTAGGTCTCAAAGTGAGGATAAAGCCGCCGACCAATCAAATCTTAAATCACTAGATTGGCTAGCAAATGTTTAGAAATAGACATAGATTTCTGTCATGTTAAGAATCAAGAATCAAGTCGAGTTTGCATGCAATGCAACCGACCTTAGGTAGGATGGACTAAGGTGATTTTTAATCTTTCCTACACGTAATCAATCCTTATCTAGAACTACGAGCGAGACCATTCATATAGTTTTCTAGTGTCATAATACTAGCCGACAACTCTATTTTCTACCCATTTTTTATTTCTAAATTGTCACCTTTCTTAACATTGTCCTGTGATAATAGTTATGGAAACCGTATTTTCTATATTGTATTCTTCCTTTCCCGATGTTGCATCCATGCCAAAACTTCTCTCTACAAAGAAACCATGATGTTTAGGTTTAGGCAAAACAACTTCCTCATTTACTAACATAAAAACTATTGATGACATCGGGGGCTTGTCTTCAAGGTGTTTTTGGACATATAGTAATCCCATATGAATGCATCTTAGTACTTGGGATTCATCGCAAAAGTCTTCAAAACTTTCATCCATTAGTTCTAATGCCCTACCTTCATTTTCACATTAACCATGCCTTGAAACATTACAACACTTGCTTAGTCATATAATTGGAAATTTAGAGAGAGACAACGAGATAATTATTGTTTCTACTCACATGGCCTAAGAGACTATAATGGCAATTTGGGTGAATAAACCCTTGATTTTTTTTTCCAAGCAACTATTTCTAGCACAAGTATACCCAAGCTAAGAAAGTCCAACTTCACCAAAAATGTGCTATCAAGTCATAAGCTTAATAATCTCTATCTTGGTGAATATTCTTGCCACCCTAAAGTTTGTTGGCTTCACCGACTCGCAAATACCTCAAACAAAAAAGTAAAATTAACTATTAATTTTAAAATTTATTAGCTACATATTACTTGAATCAATAAACAATCTTGAACTCCACCTAATTTAAAAACCACAACAAATGCCCGTGTGCATCTATTTTGAGTGAACTTTACTTGTTAACTTTAGAAAAAGTTCTCGATTTATCATTTCTTTAAGCAAGATCTTTTCTCTCACACTCATCCGAAATGTAAGAATGCATAATTCTCATCTCTTTTCCAATCACCAAAGAGACTCTTTTTTCGGTTAGTTATCATCATATGTACTCCATTTCTAACCACTCCTCGTTCATTATCTCTTTCAATTAAATGATATAAACCATCATTCTTTTTTTTTCATCGAGATTATGCCACTAGGTGTGAATTTCAAGATTCCACTTACAATGAAATATTTGTATCATTTGGAGTCTAAATGACTCGACAATATTAGATTCTTATGCATTTTTGGGAAATAAGCCATACTACCTAAAGTACAAACTACTCCATCAAATATTTTAATTTTCATTGTTCCAAGACCTATAACATCACATGACGACACACCACCTAAAGGCTCGTTGCCAATTTTTTCTCCTTAGAAATCATCAAAATATTCCTTCATGTAACACACATGTAGAATTTAATATCCAACTATCCTAAGAAAACGTGTCAATACCTTCCAATGCTATATGGACATCTCCACAGTCTACCATCATCAAAGAATTTTCACCATCATCGAGATTTATTCATCAATTTTTTTCTAAGGATAATCTCACTTGATATGATCATATTCTTTGTATAAGTAAATTGAATGCCTTTTTTGCTCAACCTAGACTCGGACCTTCCACCCCGAAATCCTTTTTAGTTGATCTTTCTTTCCGATACTTCTCTAGTCACGTGAGATAAAAGTCCTATACAAAGTTATATTCCTTTTTTATTTTTCACTTTTTCTCGCATCTCACAAGATAAAAGTACAGAATGTAATTGATCTAAATTCATTATATTCTTACCATACAACAACATCAACACTAGATTTTCAAACTCGAATCGAGAAGAGAGGTAATAAGTAAAAGGACTTTGTCTTTTTTCTCAATCTTGATATCAATTTTTCATGGTCAATCCAAGTATACCAATGAACACATTCAAGTGTTCCATGAGATTTTTTCCTTTTTTCATCTTCGACTTGTAAAGTTATCGCTTCAAAAATAACTTATTGGTTAAACTCTTCGCCGGATAAGATTTTTCAACTTTTCTCATGTTGTAAGTACCAAATCTTCATCGATAACATTATTAAACAATGTTGTTAGCAATATAGAGTCAAATTATAGTCACATACCTTGATTACAACTCCAATTCGTGCTCCTCCATCACTTTTAACTTTCCATCCTTTTCCTTCAATACTTTGTTAACGGAACCCCGATGAACAAGGATGTCTTTCACCTTTCGTTGTCAAAAAATAAAACTTTCATTTCTATTAAATTATGCCCTAGTAAATTGAAGCTTGTTGTGAGAAAATATTATTCATAATCAAAAGCCAAATCTCTCAAAATCAAAGCTAAATTAAGGTTTCGTTATTCAACACGAGCATCATGAATAACCCAATTCAATGGAAAGAAAAATAATAGAGATAAACATAGATGAATAAAGACCGAACACATAAGATTGAACTTAGTTCGACAAATTCTGCCTATTCCACAAAATCCAAGAGTAATTCTTGAATATGAGAGAAAATAAGTATAAAAATATGATTGTGATTTTTATACATAAAACTCAATTTCAAAACTCTTTGTACACTCCGTTTTACACTCAAAGAAACATCTTAGTCTTTGTGTTATGGAAACTAAAACTACACATCTTCTTATCTATCTATTTACAGTGGACAAAATTCTTAATGGATAAGAACTATTTAGTCATTACTTAGCTCTATTCATTTAGCCATTGCTTAAAAAAATATATATTTTTCAAAAGTCCAAAAGAGTCAATTAAACAGAAGACATTTTTGTCTTTTAAGTTCGCCCTTTCTGCCATTCTCAGGAAAGAAAGGTGGGGAATTCATGCAATAGAGCCAAAAGCAGTTGACTTGCAAGTCGACACATCAATTTAACCCATGTGTATTTGTAGGAATCGAAGTGAAAGTCAGATAACAAAATACTCTGTGCAAATATCGAAATCCACGATGAGATTCCATTTCATTAAATGGGGGTCCGTTATGGTGAAGAAAACCACCATTAAATCCCTTGCGCAATATTGCGAGTTATCTCATAAAATCTATTCTAATATTTTCATTAATTCTGAAAACTTCGGCAAATGGAATCAAAGTCCAAATAATATTATGACTTTTTTAATTTAATTTTTATTTTTTTAGTTCTATTGTGTGTACTGTTTTTATTTTTTGAGTTCAAACATATCTTATAACATATTTTATAAATATATTTGATTTTTGATAAAAAAAAAGTATGCAATCAGTTATTGATATCTTATAAAAATCTAATTAAAAGAGTTAGTAAAGGGAAGAATGCAAGAATCGACAGCAAAATAGTGATCGAGCATGTTAGAAAGAAGTTTAATTTTATTAAATGAGTTCATAACTATTGATTGAAAATTTTCATTATTGTGTACTTGATCGTTAAACTTTTTTTTTTTTTTTTAATTCTATTTGCAACAACGTAATTCTGAATAATTATTTTTAATGGTCATTTCAGTCCACTGTTAAGAGGAACTGTTAATTTTTTTTTAAGTTAAAAAAATAATTTAGAATTAACGGTCTGTCTTATCCAATCAATTCAATTTTAAACGGGGTTAGTTCATAAAATGGCGTAAATTTTTGAAACCTCTCTAGCAAATCAAGATCATCAATCAACAATTCAACAACATCACTGCAGAGATCATCGAAACTTCTCTTCTGGTTTATCGACAGCAGAGTCTTGACGAAAGCTTTATGAACCTTCTCCCCTCGCATCCTCGCTTTCTTTATTTAAAAAAAAAAAAATAGATTTGTTCTTTCGTAATGAAGCTTCATATATACTCCATAACCCCATGTGAATCTTTGTTCTTCAAAAACAATGTCCAACAACAGCAACACATCTTCTGCTACTCCACGAGACACAATGACCCACTTAGATTTTTTCAAGAAGTTCAAGAGATTGAACCCTCTTGAGCCTTCTCTTGGCTTTCTTGGCTTCTTTTGGGTCACTCTTGTCTTCACTGGCTGCTTCTTTTACTTGGATTACAGGACTGTCACTCGTGGCCTTCGCCACCATGGTGTGTTCTGGCTTGGACTTGTTGTACATTCTTCATCAGGATATTGACTGGTAGTGATAATGGACGGTTAGGATTTCTTGATAAGGATGTTGTTTGGTGTGATGTTTTCTACGGGAACTGGGTTTGGGATGATAATGATCCTATGTATCGGAGTCAAGATTGTTCCTTTATAGACACTGGTTTAGGTGTTTAGAGAATGGTAGGCCTGATAGTTTCTATACAAAGTGGCGTTGGCAACCAAAAAAATTGCAACTTGACCAGGTATTCCTTTTCGTTTATTTCCTTTTTCATGCCAAAAGTGCAAAATGGTCGTTTTGATGTCACTGCAGCAGCTAGGGGTTTAGCAACGGAAATAATTTATATTGTTTTAGTCTTTTTTTATGTTATTTTCCTGAAGTCATACGTTATATTATTGAACTGACCTCAGCAGGAGGTAGTAGTCTAATAGCAGCAGCTATGCCTAATAGTTTTCTTACATTATACTTGCGCGTCAGTTAAGAATTTCATACCAAATCCATTTTAATCACAACATAACATATGCTTTCATAAGATTACTAAAGTTTAATCATTTTAATCACATGTTCGGAAGCTGAGAAAATGCTAGGAAATTCAGTAGTGACTAAAGTTTTAGAACAAATCAAATCAAAATGAAGATGTGGTACCCATACAGTGAATAAAAGTCACCTGCATGGGTATGAAAGCTTTTGGTGAATAAGCTAGTCATCTCCCACAGACCACAACAGTCAAATCAATTGAGAATGGTAATAACTGAAGAGATAGAGAAGCAACAAGTGTGTGGTTGGGTAAGGTCTTGCTGTCTCCTTCCTCTCTCCCCCTCTGCAACTAATTTCCAGCCTTTGTAATTCTCTGAAATGACGAGTGTTTTTAGGATTTTATTTATTTATTTGGCATCCTGTTTTCGTGTAGAAAAAGTTGTATCCATGGAGATAAAAGAAACCAGGCGACAAAGATAATTCTGCTGAAAATTTGAACATTTCCACCTCTATATGTTTGTGGTCCATTAGGACTTAGGACTGACTTTTGGACGGCTCGACTTCTTCTTTCAAGCATCACATGGATCACTGTTGGTTTGACGTCTGTCCCTTTTCTTTTGTTTTCCCCCTTTCTGTTAGTAAATTCAGAGTCTTTAGTGTTAATCACGTGGTTTGAAGTTCAATTTCCCTCCTTTAGTTTATTTGGGGAAAAAAAAATCAATTACAAGACTCTTAGTTGTGGCATTTTGGGTTGAGAAATCGTTGGATATTCTTCAGTTTTTTTAATCTGTTAGTTGAGTTGAACTCCATAAAAAAGACTCAGGTCCTATGGTGTCAAATGTACCTATATTGGATCCTAGCAGTTAAGCTGTATGACTTCCTACTTCTCTGTTGCTGCTTACTGTAAGAAAATGCTTTGTATTTCGGTAGATATCCATTTGTAATCTGACTAGAAATACTTCTCTTGCCTTAAGATTCCAACCTATAATGCAAATCAAACAATGCCTAAGAAGTATAGACAAACCCAGGCACCAAGTTCAAGTGACGTTAATAAGCTTTAGAAAAATAATTCCTCAGGTACATTTGCTCTGACAAACTAAAAGAATTATCTATCTAGCTTCCAGCACGGTTATAGTCAATGCATTTGTTGAATGGTGTTCTTCCTTTCTTGGTGTTGCATCAATGATGGAACTTCTTTCAATGAAGAAACCAGGCTGCTCAGGTTGGGGCAAAACAGCTCCTTCATTTGCCAACATGAAAACGACAGTTGACATTACTGGCCTGTCTTCAGGGAGCTTTTGGACGCATAATAGCCCCACCTGAATACAACTTAATAGTTGGGATTTTACGCATGAATCCTCCAAACCTTTGTCGATTAATTCTAAGGCCCTGCCTTCATTCCACTTCAACCATGCCTGAGAAAGCCAATATATGCCTAGTTATTCAGCAGGAAAATCAGAGAGGAGAGTTGTGATTGTTTCACTTACATGTCCCAAAAGATTGTGATGGTGATCTGGGTGACAAAACCCTCTGTTCTTTTTGCCGGTTATTATCTCTAACAGAAGCACGCCCAAGCTGAAAACATCAGACTTGACTGAAAATTTTCCATCAATTGCATATTCAGGAGACATATAGCCACTGCATACAAAAACAAAAACAAAGTTAAGTCTTTTCAACTAACAGAAGCATATGATTTTACTTGTAGAACTTACTATGTTCCGATGACTCTTCTTGTTTTTATTTCTTTGCCATCTTCATTAGATATTCTTGCCAAACCAAAATCTGAAATTTTAGGGTTCAGGTTACTGTCTAGTAAAACATTGCTTGGTTTGAGATCCCTGTGGACGATTTGAAGTTTAGAATCCTGATGGAGGTAGAGAATTCCTCTTGCAATACCCAAAATAATAACAAAACGCTTTTCCCAGCCCAGTAATGCGCTTCTGATAGGATCTGCACATCATTTCATCTCTTGTAGGAATTACTATAGATACATGAAGACCATTGCATATGCTTAGGGAAGAAATGTGACTAAAGAGACAAAGGGTCATGAGGATCGAACCAAATATGAAATAATCCAAGCTTTTGTTCGGCATATACTCATAGATTAACATCCTTTCTTCTCTTTGTATACAGCTGCCCAACAGCCCGACAAGATTTCTATGTTGAAGTTTTGCAATTAAAACTACTTCGTTCCTAAACTCTTCAACACCTTGTCCTGAAATCCTAGACAGCTTCTTCACTGCTATTTCTTGTCCTGTCAATAGTTTACCCTGCAAGTTGTCATGTAGAAAATTCATTTCTTTACTGTTTTGAGTTAAGAGAACACAATGATTCTTTTATTACCTTGTAGACAGAACCAAATCCCCCAGCTCCAATTATATTGGTCGGTGAAAAATTGTTAGTTGCGGTAGCAATTGTATCCAAATCAAACAGAGGTACTTCCATGTCTTCCTTCTTGGTTTCGTTTCCTATTGAATGGACCAAATGACTTAAAACCTGCTTTCAAATAAATCAGTGGGGTATCTAATTTTCTCTTAGCAGCAACGTAGGATAAGAGTTCTTACCTTCCCTTTTTATTTTCCTCCAACTTATGCAGAGCACCAAACCTGAGATAAAGCTGCCGAGCAAGGTAGACACTGAAGCCGCTAGGGCAATCTTTAACCTTTTCTTCCTTTTGGAGTTACTCGTTGATGCTATAAAAGAACAAGAAAGATAATGCTTTTGGTGAGAATGATTCTGCTCTTCTTTTTCCCTCATTTAGTGATCTCTGGCTAATTATCAATCTTGCCAGCATACTTGTAAACTGCCTTGTATTATTTTCACTTCTCAATGCCTCTATTCTTTTAACAAAGGATAGAAATGCAATGAGGATAAGGTCTTGGTTCCTTGTTTTCGCCCATAGAGGCAAAAAGTAAAATCTTTAAATTTAATGTGTTCTGCATATTTTTTCTGGATAGACACCTCAACAAAACTTTGAAATGCAAGGAAGGTTCATAAATCAGTAAAAAAAAATACCTAATTCTGAAACCGGTACTCGTATATGGATATCCTGTCCCATCATTCTTCCTGGAAGCTGTATGATGTCCACGAGGTCCCCAAACCACATCAAACAGCCACTCCCACTTCCACTTAAATTTGAATTACCAAAAGCTGAGCAAGAACAGTTCTTGGAACACTCTGCCTCGCATTCCTTCAGATCCATACTCTCAATCAACCGAAACTCTAATAAATCAGGCAATTTTATCCCTGGAAGCTTTAGGAACCCCTCATCTCTTTGGCAATCTAATGTCGATATCCTCGCACATTTTCTAGACCCGAACAAATTCTGTATATCCAAATCTCCTTCTGTAGCGGATCTAAACCCTTGCAAACACTCACAGATAGTTGATTTCCTAGCTTTGCAAATTGCATTAGCACCACATTGCCCGTAATTCTCACACACATCCATAGGTGTTGAGTATAACATTGTCCATTCAGAGTTCTGATCATACATCACAAAACGTTCCACCGAACCTGATTGATCCAGGGTGAGTATGGTACTAACTGAATTGTTCACAAGCCTGTACATGTAATACATCTCATCCTCATTATGAACCAGAATCGGTTGAAATACTGAGTTGTGAAGATTTGGAGTGCCGCCAAAGAAAACTCCATTCCAGGGTCCGGTGCGGGCCTTCTTTACTGATCCCGAAGCAATAAACAGATCAGGTAAACCATGAATGTCAAGTCTATAAGTAAACTCTCCAGGGGATGGATCGTTGATGCTTCTCCATGAAGTTAAGTAACTTTCTTGACCGCTCTTTAAGTTCCATCCTAGCTTCATGCCTGGTAATAGTGTATCTGATGGGTGGTCAAAACTCTGCCATCGATAGCTTTCAGTGTTTCTGCTACTACCATTGTCCCTGAGAACAAGGTTTCCAGAATCCAAGAGCTGTGCCACTGGACGTGCTATAATTCTCGATACATTTGAAGACCATATAACATTCTTTGTTTCATTGAGAAGAACAAGATTTCCCTTGTTGCCAATTGTTATAACTCCAAAAAGATCAGTGAGCGGGCTGTTCCTGTTGGCAACCCATACAACTGTCTCCGGGCTCTTCTTGTACCAAATTCCAAAATACCTATTTTTTGAGGTTCCACGAGAGAAGAAACCAAGCTCAAAAGTTTGAGATGAAGAGATTAAAGTCTGGCCATCTTTGATGGGTAGATCTGGAGTTATGGTATCAGCAGCCAATGACAAGTTGTGGAGAGATGAAATGAACAAAGTGCAAAAGATGGTAAGTAAAGGAAGGCTCTCCATTCTTGACCTGAGAGTTCTCAAACATCAATAAATATAATAAAACCCTTACATGGTAGGTACGCCCCTATTTTGGCTCTTAATAAAAATTTTTTTGTTTTAATCCCTATTTTATAATTTTTTTTATTTTAATAATTAAAATTTTATTATATTTGATTTTTTTTTCCTTTAAGAATAATTTTTTTATTTTTTACTTTTAGTAAAACTTATCATTATGTGTAGTCCTTATTTTGTAGTCTTTCTTTTATTTTGGTTATTAAAGTTTTATTATGTTTGATTTTTATTCTTGCTATATTAAAATTAAATGCAGTTTCACTATGCTAAGTTTTTTTTTAGCTTTTAGTAAAAAAAAAAAATTTCTCTTTTACAATTTTTTTTATCATTAAATTTTTATCATGTTTGATTTTTGTTCTTGTCATATGCATAATGAGTTTTTTTAGTCTTATTATTCATATTTTTTTTATTTTTTTAGTAAAAGTTTTTTTTTTTTTTTTGGTCTTGATTTATGATCTTTATTTTGTTTTGTTCATTTAAGTTTTGTCATATGCAATTTTTTTCTATTTTTTTGACAAATATATTTTGAAATATTTCAATTTCATCCCGATTTGATAAAGTTTTTTTGTCTTTTTATTTATGGTAGTCTCCTTCTATTTCATTAAAAAACTACATATAAAAAACGTATTGTGGAAATTAATAATCTGAAATTCAAAAAATTATTATATCATTATTTTAAATATAAATTATTATATATATTTCTAATCAAATATATATTTATATTAAATAACATCTAATTAGTAATATTATATTGTTCAACTTTTAATACTTTTGGTTTAGCTAACCATGTAGCAATACACAAGATATATAGTTTGATTTCTTTATTCTTTTTTTTTTTTAAAAATAAACTTCACATAATATTTTTAAATAATTATTTTTAAATTTTAAATTTTAAATTTTATATAGATGAGCATATAAATATATTGTGTAACTCATTATACGGCAACTTGCGGAATGGATGATAGTCAAGTGCCACCACATAATGAGTAAAATCTACCGACATGGATAGGAAAGTGTTCAGCGATGAACTCTAGATCGGAGCAGGGTTAAGCAATGGACGGGAAAAAAGTGGTCGCCCAACAATTTGGTTCCCCATTTCTGAAATGATTGAATGCCATACGGCAATGCACAGTGGAACGTGGAAAAATATAAATAGGACCATAATGGATGGAAACAAATTAGTTTAGTCCCTTAGATATGAGGTCACTCCTTATTGACTATTACTTATTTATTTAAGTCCAATTTTGCTTAAGCACTTTTAATTTAAGTCCAACTTATTAGTTCTATGGCGGCTCATTCTGAAAATTGGTATCAAAGCCTAGTTAATAAGCAATTAAAAATATCAAAAAAGGCAAATCTAGGAATATTATCTAGTATAAACCATTATCTCTAAGGTTTGAAAGATAGATAAAGAACATATTAAAAGGAAATAAAAAAATATGTAAATATAATTATATATTGTGAATTTTTAAAAAGACATTAACTTAATAAATAGATTATTATTTCCTCAAGATTGCAAAAGAATTACATATGAAGGGAGTATCGGGTAGTATCCGATTACATAAAAAGAGTAATAGCTAATGTGAAAGCTATGAAATCTTTGGGCTTTCATACCTAGTATGGTTTAATACTAAGCATTATGTTATCCTTAGGGTTTTATGATTTTTGTTGATAAGGGCCTACGAAGCGGCTTGAAAAAGAGTCACCGCCTAACTAATTGGAGAGAACTAGGAAACCCTAAACAAACTAGTTTACATGGGTATTTGGATAAACGGTCGATTACGTATGAAGAAAATATAACATCACCACTATCCCGTCTTACCTAAGGTAGGTTGCATTGAATGTATGCGAAAATAAAAATTTGGTTTATATCATATTATGTTTCCATGCCTATTTGATCGAATTTATTGTATTGGGATGAATTAGCGAATAATTTAGGATTCAAGTCAATCTAAGGTCAATACCCATACTCGAGTGGTCGACCACCATCGACTTCGTTGACACAAATGAAAAGCCACCATCGACTTTGATTTATGGGTTTAGGAAAGCCATCGGTGACTTCATCACATAAGTGAGAAGCCATTGATAACTATATTTCGTTTGAGTAAAGAGCGGATAACCGATTTCAAAGTCACTAACAACTTCGTCACATAAGTGGAAAGCCATTATTAGTTTCATTTTAAATGAACAAAAAACAAGTAAACCGATTCGGAAGCTACTAGTGGCTTTATCAAAACATGAAAAGTCATTGAAAACTTCATCTCAAACGAATAGAAAATAGGTAAAATGACTTCAAAACCACTAGCGACTTCTAGTAACTTTGTCACATAAGTGGGAAGTCATCGATAGCTTCATTTCAAATGAATAGAGAGCAAGTAAATTGATTTGGAAGCCACTAGTAGCTTTGTCTAGATAGGTGAAAAGCCATCAATAATTTCATTTTAGATAAGTAGAAAACATATAAAAATGACTTTGAAACCACTAGCGAGCTTCGTCATATAAGTGGGAAGCCACCGACGGCTTCATTTCATCAATAAAAAATCATGATAATATGATTCGAAAGCTATCGATAGCTTCATCTATATAGGCGAGAAGTTGCCTACATCTTCATTTCAAACGAGCAAAAAATAGGTAAACCATCGATGGCTTCATCATATAAGTGTGAAGCCATCGGCAATTTCATTTTAAATGAATAGAAAGTAAGTAAATTGATTTAGAAATAACCGATAGCTTCATCCTCACAAGTGGGAAGCCATTGATAGAAAACAAGCAATCATCTTAAATATAATCGGAAAAAGCATTTAATAATTCAATCATTCACAACAAGACATTTTTATCATTTTCATTTATTATTTAAAATAAATATTTACAGGTTTGAAAGTTATCTAAATGTTGTGATGGTGTTAATGATTTATTTTGGATCATTTTACTTCTTTCAATCTCGATGAAGACTAATTATTTCGATCAATTGAGAAGGCGAAAACAATTATTCTTAAGCCTTTTTTTCATTTTTTTGTCCGAGTTTAAAGTTCCTAAATAGAAATTAGTCATGTTTTATCCGGTCCAATATCCTTGCTCCACTACTAAAAAACGAGTAACAAAACAAAAATTATAGTCTATAACATTATGTTGTTCTCGCTAAATACAACAAACAACAAAACAAATTTTTTTATTTTGTCCTTTTAAAAATCAGTTCAAGTTTATACTATTATCAACACCAAAACATACACATATTATGCATTTTTATTTGTTCTATTCTGTCCAAGATTGATGCTAAAATGATGGGTGTTTCTCAACTAAAATGGTGGAGGATGAGAGGTTGGTTGTGAACGATTCTTGGGTGGTATGGGTCTTAATTGGTGAGGTAGTTTTTGTTTTGGACATTGGTGGTTGCTGTAATTCTCGGCTAAGGATGAAGAGGGGCTCAACAATGAAGTAAATGGGAGAGAAGGTCATGGCTGGTTTGGTGGTGGCTTGTAGAGGTTTATATGGAGAAGGTCATGACTATTGGAAGATGGATGATGTCACAACTGCATGAAAGATAGAAGAGGAGAAGATGACAACTATAATGACCTCTTTTCCCTTTTGTTATAGCCAAAGGCAAGGAACGAGATAAGGGGAAAAAATGGTGATTACCCTTCTTTCTTCTTGCTGTAGTTGAGAGGAAGGAGGAGATAAAGGTTATGGCTTTATAAGAGGGTGGGCGACATGTTTTGATGGAGGAGAAGATGATGGTTAGGCCAAGTGAAAAGGAGAGTGGTGGCTAGAATTTTTAGGAAAGATTTGACCTAGGAGAGGAAGAGTGATGGTGGTTCGATTAAGAAGGAAAATGAAAGAGGAAGCTTGTGTGGGCGAGCTAAGTTTCGACTATAATGGAAGATGAATAGTGGCTATCAAGTTTTAGAAAAGAAGATGAATAGTAACTTCGATAGATGATGGTAGTTTAGATGGTGAAGGAGTGGTAGTGTTTAAGAGGTGGTGGAGGAGGCTAAAAAAATTAGGTAGAGAGGGAGATTGTTGGAAAATTTTAAGGAAAATGATGAATAGTGCTAGCCTCTAAAAAATGAGAAGAAGGTTGATATTTACGAGTGAAAATTAGGGCTTTTTCACAAATATCAATTTTGGTTCCTAATTCCTCCTAACTTATTAATTTAAGTGCAATTTCAATTGTTTAAACTTTAATGACACCCCTAAATTTCAATTAGAACCGGTTCTTATATATATATATATATATTTTAGCTCTACCCTTTATTTTTTTATTTAACGTTTAGGATTTTTGGCTTTTTAAATGTACCCTCAATTAGATTTCTCTTGATTTCCAAACTTCCTATTTCTTTTCTCTTTTCTTTTTATATATATTTGTTTTTTTTCTAAAATAAAAGGAAAATAATATGGATGAGAAATTTGGTACTAAGAGTTGCTTTCTCTTTACAATGCTTTCGTTACAAAGTCATTAAAAGGTCATTTTTTGACTTTAAATAGAAAAAAATTTTAAAGAAAAAAATAAAAAAGAAATAAATAGCATGAATAATAGGTAAACAAAAAAGAACAATCATTGAATTCAAATGACAAGTGACCATTTCACCAAAAAAAATTGAAATAAAAGCTTGCAACATGAAAGACTATGATGGTGGTAAACCACATGTTTAGAAAGATATAACGGACTATATTGATTTGACAAGAAGTGATAGACCACTCGAGCTAGAAGGATGTGACATACCTTTTTGATTTGATAAGATGTGACGGACTATCCTAACATAGAGAGATGTGATAGGCTATGTTGATTTGATAAGATGTGACGGACCACTCTAACAAAAAAGAATGTGACGAGACCACATTGATTTAGCAAGATGTGATTGACCACTCTAACCTAGAAGGATGTGATAGACCATGTTGATTTGACAAGATGTGATATACCATTCTAATCTTACAAGGCTTGATAGACTACT